GCGACAAAATAAAAACTTTTAATAAAAATGTAAAATTATGTAATTTATGGAGATTATTTTTAGCGCTTATTTATAAAATAATTGCTAATTATGCCAAATTAAATCTACATCATTGCTATTATATTAACATAATTTTGTCTCATTTAGAATTAGTATCTATTCATTATTCATAATATTAATATTAAGCACATTAATTTCTAAAGTCTTTACTTTATTAATAATCCTCCATCGTCTGATCGATTATTTCGCATTCGCTGTCTGTGAGCTACATACTAATATTCTTTTCAACTGACATACCAATTATTTTAGTTACAGATGTGATTTATTGTATATTTTACATATACATTGCATTCATTTGCGTAGTGTATATTCCAATATGTATAAGCATGTACTTTCGTCATTGATAATTCTATTATATTGTTATGTCATCATAAAGAGAAAAACTTAAACAGCAAAATGTAAGCAATAAGCAAATCAACATTTTAAATTTGCTACTTCTTAGGTTACTGTATTACATTCTCTATTGTGAATAGCCGAGTACTGCCTATATTTTTCTGTATGTCATTAGCTTTAAGACTACGGCACTCAAAAAAACATAAACAATAAGACGTAAGCAAATAAATATTTTTAATTTACTTCTGTCTACGTTATTTCTTGCCTTATTGTGATTGGCCAATTAAAGCTGTCGCACACGTTTTCCATAAAGCTGGTTCTACATTAGACGCATAATTATAAGCTTGTTGCGACAGTCAATCTAAAGCATTAATTTCAAAATGCAAACTTCGGATTAGCTGTTGTAACAACCTTGCGATCTATTTGCATCTAATGTAAAACTAACTCTCTTGATAGTAATGCCCGGTTTACACGGTACGAGTTGGCGTGGAAGTCGATAGTGTCAGTATTGAAACTTAGCTACTGACTTTGTATAAACAAATTGACCGAGTTATTCACTGTGCAAGTTAGGCATAACTGACAAGGTCAGTTACTTCAAATATTTTTATTCTACTGTCCATCAACTTTTCCCCATATATATCATATAACACAAATAGGCTAGTTACTAGCCCTTTGTGAACACACAAATCAGTATGGTCAATAGCTGCCCAAACATTACGTAATAGAGAACCTATAGCTGAGTTAACTAGCCAGTTCGGAACTACTATTGACTTACTGGCAAGTAGCTCGCACCGTGTAAACCGAGTTTAACACCAACGTAATGTGTAGTCAGAGTACTGCATTAAGTTTCGCGATAATATCAATATTATGCGACGGCGTAGTAATGATGTTATGCGGCGCTTGTTATAATATTAATACAAAACTTATTCAAAATTAGAAACGTATGATAAAAATTAAAAAATGTATAACGTTGATATAAACTTTGATAAGCCTCTAACAGCATACGTAGCACAGATTTATATATTGATATTTTCATCCATTATTTTGATTTTATAAGAATCCAGATTTCTTTTCGTTACATTAGATAATGCAAAGATAGGCTAGTTAAACAATATGCGGTATTTATAACAAATGTTTCAAAATGAAATCTTAAATTATATATATATATATAT